GATAAAGCAGCAGCAGGGTTTGAGAGGATTCTGTTCAATTTTATTATTATTATTACTTTTTAATTTTTTGAGACAGAGTTTCGCTCTGCTGCCCAGACTGGAGTGCAGTGGAGTAATCATAGCTCACCACAGCCTTAACCTCCTGGGCTCAAGCGATCCTGCCGCTTCAGCTTCCCAAGTAGCTGGGACTACAGACGTGTATTTTTAATCCTGGCTGATTAAATTTTTTTTTTTTTTTTTTTTTTTTCCAGAGACAGGGTCTTGCTATGTTGCCAAGGCTGGTCTCAAACTCCTGGCCTCAAGCAATCCTCCCACCTTGTCCTTCCAAAGTGACAGGCATGAGCCACCATGCCCGACCCCATTCCAATTCTGAAAGAAGTTCTACCACTTGCAATATATTCTCAAACACCATTGCATGCTACAGATAAATGTTTTCGTGAAAAGAAGAGTCAATTGGTGTAGCAAACTTCATTGTTGTCTTATTTTAAGAAACTGCCACAGCTATCCCAATGTTCAGCAAGCACCACCCTGATCAGTTAGCAGGCATCAACATTGAGGCAAGATCTTCCACTAGCAAAAAGATTAGGACTTGCTGAACGCTCAGATGATCATTAGTGTTTTTCAGCAATACAAGATTTTTTTTCTTAGACATAATGCTATTGCACATTTAACAGACTACAGTATAGAGTAAGCATAACTTTTACAGGCACTGGGAAACAACAACAACAACAACAACAACAAAAACCACGCCCAGCTAATTTTTGTTTCCCAGGTTGGTCTTGAACTCCTGAGCTCAAAGTGGTCCACCCGCCTTGGCTTCCCAAAGTGCTGGGATTACAGGCGAGAGCTACTGTGCCCAGCCTGCTTAAGTTCTTTTGTTTTGTTTTGTTTTTGAGAGGGAGCCTCGCCCTTGTCACCCAGGCTGGAGTACAGATGGGGCCATTTTGGCTCATTGCAACCTCCACCTCCCGGGTTCAAGCAATTCTCCTGCCTCAGCCTCCTGAGTAGATGGAATTACAGGAGCCCACCACCACACTCAGCTAATTTTTGTATTTTTAATAGAGATGGGGTTTCACCATGTTGGTCAGGCTGGTCTCGAACTCCTGACCTCAGATGATTCACCTGCCTTGGCCTCCCAAAGTGCTGGGATTACAGGCATGAGCCACTGCGCCTGGCTTTCAAGTTCTTAAAGAAAAAAAAAAAAAAAGAATATACATAATTTGCTTCTGGTTTGAATATGACAATCCTAGAAACCATTTTAAGAGTGGTGTTAACAGTCTACATACTGTGATGTAAGGAATCAGAGGAAAGACTAAATAGTACATGTAGGATGTTTAAGAATTCACTTGAAATGAGTTTAATGTTTTGCTTCTTGCTTTAATTCCTTCTTTGAAGTAATAGGTAACATAGATTTACATTTCAGTTAATTGCTAAATTATAAAGCTAATATAAAAGGCAGATTATTTCATAATAATGAGAATGTATGATTCAGGCATTACACAATTTTCTTTTTTTTTAAGTTTAAGGGTTTTATTATCAAAGTATTATAAAATAATTTCAGAAATTGTACATCAACATGGCACAGACTATAGCCTACTTTTTACTGCACAAAAGTGGAGTCTGAAATGCCTCTAACAAAGAAAAGAGTTGCCTAACTACTTTGCATATATAACATGAAATCACTGTGTGCATAAGAATACTACTGCAGTAACACAAATTTATCGGTTTTATACAACTTGAGATTTTATTTTATTTTTTGAGACAAGAGTCTCACTCTGTTGCCGAGGCTGGGGTGCAGTGGCACAATCTAGGCTCACTGCAACCTCCACCTCCCGGGTTCAAGTGTTCTCCTGCCTCAGACTCCTGAGTAGCTGGGATTACAGGAGCCCACCAGTAATTTTTCTATTTTTAGTAGAGATGGGGTTTCACCATGTTGGGCAGGTTGATCTCGATCTCCTGACCTCAGGTGATCCACCTGCCTTGGCCTCCCAAAGTGTTGGGATTACAGGTGTGAGCCACTACGCCCAGTCAATTTGTCTTATTTTAAAAGCATATGAAGGACAATTTAAAATGCACTATCCCTTTTTTCCAACACTGAGCTTAAGACAAATTAATGGAAGAGTGGAAAATTCAAAATAAGGGCAAGAGATAAGTTTTTTCTTTGTTTAAGATGGACTCAGGATAGGTAGATAGCTTTCACTGATGTAGATGTGGAATAAATTATTTCAGGAAAAAAAATTCCCAAACATCTTATGAAAAAGTATACAACTCTACTTCAAAATATACTATTTACTCACTGCCAAAGACAGTTTTACTTGAAATCTTGTTTCTGTAATTAAACCCTAATTAGCCATCAAAAAAGGTTAGTGCATAATAACCATTCAAAGTTAAACCAAAATGACAAAAATTTTGCCACAAGGCTTAAAGGATTATCTATTTCTTTTCTTTTCCTTCTTTCTTTCTTCTTCTTCTTTTTTTTTTTTTTTTTGAGATGGAGTCTCGCTGTGTCGCCTAGGCTGGAGTGCAGTAGCATGATCTCAGTTCCCTGCAATCTCTGCTTCCTGGGTTCAAGTGATTCTCCTGCCTCAGCCTCCGGAGTAGCTGGTATTACAGGCATGCACCACCATGCCTGGCTAATTTTTGTGTGTGTGTGTTTTAGTATAGACGAGGTTTCGCCATGTTAGCCAGGCTGGTCTGGAATTCCTCACCTCAGGTGATCTGCCCGCCTTGGCCTCCCAAAGTGCTAAAATTACAGGCGTGAGCCACTGTGCCCAGCCGGATTATCTATTTCAAATGCTCATTTCCAGATGGAACTATAAGAATGTTAATTTGTCACGTCAACAAACAAGACCATAAGTAGATCCATCATGTTGGAGGATTTTAATGACATTTAGGATATTCTTGCCACAATAACATGCAATCAGTGCATTTCCTACATGGCTCTATTAACCCGATGCATAACATTCTAGAAGTACTATGAGTGAACTTAATAAAGGAAATTATATGACATAAACAATCCATTCCTGCTGTAGGAGCATGCAGCTTTTCATTTCTGTTATGAAGCAGCACCAAGAGTAAAACTGTTTGGTTATTCCATCAGATGTCACCATGACAAGAATTGCTTACGTCATACCATTTTCTAAAAGCTTTTTGATGTAAATTAGTATCAATAACGGGAGCTTTATAGCCATTAATAACTCAGAGCTGTATACATCTAGGTTTGAGATGAACAAATATAGCATTCAGAAATCACACAAAGGAATGACACTGATGCATGTATACAGTTGGATTCCCATAGAGGCAATATTCAGTCACTCATACCCATGTCTTCTTCATGATGATCATTCCCATTCACTTTGGATTCTCTTAGTGAATCATCAGTTCCCTTTTCCACAGAACATTTCTTTGTTTTAGGGGAACCTGCTTCTATTGCTTTCTTCTCTTCTTTTTTCCTCTTTCTTACTGTCATAACCCGGTTCCTCTTCATCATAAACCCGTGTAACTTTTACATCTATATCACTCTCTGATTTTCTTTCCTGATCCTTTTCCTTATCTTTACTCTTCTTCTTGTTTGTTGATCGTTCTCTTTCATCCCTACTATCTTTCTCCCTACTCTTTCATCCCTACTATCTTTTTTCTTCTTTTTATGTCTCCCAGGGGATGGTGAGGGAGACAATTTTCTTTTAGGAGACTGCGACTTTTTGGGAGATCTTGTTCCACTCCTGCTTCTTCATTGTCGTCTCTGTTTGTACTTCTACAATGTCTGGCTCTGCTGTAATTTTTTGGTGGTGTTTTAGAACGTTTCTTTCGTCTTCTTTCTTTCTGTCTCTCGTTTTTGATGTGCTCCTTGATCTTCTACCTCTCTCTCTGGAATGAGATCTTCTCTGTCTTGGGCTTTTGGATCAACGACTCCTAGACTTAGAATGTGATCGCTCTCTTGATCTGTTTCTTGACTGTCTGTGTTTAGAAGATGATCTTGAATGCCTTCTTTCTTCTTTGGTTCTATAGCAGCCGAAATTAGGGACTGTGCTTCTTGTACTCTTTACATAGCTTCCTCTATTTTTTTTTGAGACAGAGTTTTGCTCTTGTTGCCCAGGCTAGAGTGCAATGGCACGATCTCGGCTCACTGCAACCTCCACCTCCAGGGTTCAAGCACTTCTCCTGCCTCAGTCTCCTAAGTACTTGGCGTTACCGGGATGTGCCACCACACCCGGCTAATTCTGAATTTTTAGTAGAGACAAGGTTTCACCATGTTGGTCAGGTTGGTCTTGAACTCCTGACCTCAAGTGATCCACCCACCTCAGCCTCCCAAAGTGCTAGGATTACCGGTGTGAGCCACCACGCAGGGCCTCTTCCTCTATTTCTTTACTAGAGGTATCCGGTTTCAGACTTGGTGAAACAAGACCAGCAGCCACATGCTTCAACTTGGGATCAACAGTACTCATAAGCTTCAGCAACTGATCTGTGGCAACAGACTGAGTTCAACTTTGCTCCAGGAAGCCCAAGGGCAGCAAGGGCAGGAGCAAGAGTAGGAGCCCCCAAAGCAGCCGGTGGAAGGGCGCCAGTCTGAGTAAGTGGGTTAGGAGTAGGCTGGAGCCCAACACCAGGCAGAAGACCTGCCACTGCATTAGCTGGTGCCAACAGAGACAGGCAAGCCTTAGCCTTATCAGGAATAACTCCTTCTGCATATGGTACATTATCAAAGCTCTGTCAAGGAACACAGTGTCAGATGTGGTGCCGCAACTGCTGAGTCTGGATCATGGAACTTAACAAGACTGAGATTGGCAAAGGTGAATGATCCAGCGGGAAGAGGTGTGGTTCGTCGATCTTGCCTAGGAAACCGAAGAGAGTCCGCATCTGCTCAGAGCTAGCGCTCGGGGAGATTAGTCATCTATTACCTCGGTGCCACAGCCTCCACCGCCGCCACCACCTCCGCTACTAGGCCCGCCGCTGGGGCCCGGACCCGCAGTGCTGGGGACGATGGTAGTGTTGCTCATGGCGCTGCTCGCATTCCCGCTCCTGCTTTAACACATCAAACACACAGCGAGGAAGGGAAAGAGGAACTGGTTCGTGGGAGGAGGGTGTCCGATGCTCCAGCCTCTGCTGCTCCAGCTGCCACCGCCACCGTTTCTCCACCCAGCCAGACGCCGCGGGGGAGGGGAAGCGAGCACGCTAGCTGGAGACCACGAGAAAACAAACGGCCGCCTCCACCTCGCCTCCAACCCCACAGTTTTCATAATTAACTCTAGCTGTAAATAAGAAAACATACGTGGCAACATCTTGGAAATACACTTAGGTAATAATGCCAGTGTATTTTTGTTCACAACAAAACATATTTTTACTTGGAATGTCTAAGTCCAAATGTTTAGAAAAACTATCTAGAAAATCTGATACTTAATCCTGTCCTCTTTAACAGTTTTGAGGTCTGTTGGGCAAATATGAATAACTTGATTTATTTTTTTAGACGGAGTCTGGGACTGTCGCCCGGGCTGGAGTGCAACAGGGCGAGCTCAGCTCACTGCAACCTCCGCCTACTGGGTTCAAGTGATTCTCCTGCCTCAGCCTCCCGAGGAGCTGGGATTACAGGCACCCGCCACCAGGCCCAGCTAATTTTTTGTATTTTTAGTAGAGCCACAGCGCCCAGTCTTCAAATAGGTTGATTTTCTTTCTTTCTTTCTTTTTTTTTTGAGACGGAGTTTCGCTGTTGTTGCCCAGGCTGGAGACAATGGCGAGATCTCGGCTCACTGCAACCTCGGACTCCCGGGTTCAAGCGATTCTCCTGTCTCAGCCTCCCGAGTAGCTGGGACTACAGGCATGTGCCACAAAGCCCGGCTAATTTTTTGTATTGTTGGTAGAGATGGGTTTCTCCACGGTGGTCAGGCTGCTCTCAAACTCTTGACCTCAGGTGACCCACCCGCCTTGGCCTCCCAGAGTGCTGGGATTACAGGCCTCAGCCACTGCGCTGGGCTTTTTTTTTTTTTTTTTTTTTGAGACGGAGTCTCCCTCTGTCACCCAGGCTGGAGTGCAGCGCGCCATCTTGGCTCACTATAACCTCTGCCTCCCAGGTTCAAGTGATTCTCCTGCCTCAGCCTCCTGAGTAGCTGGGATTACAGGTGCTCATCATCCCATCAGGGCAATTTTTGTACTTTTAGTAGAGACGGGGTTTTACCATGTTGGTCAGGCTGGTCTTGAACTCCTGACCCCGTGATCTGCCCGCCTTGGCCTCCCAAAGTGCTGGGATTACAGGTGTGAGTCACCATGCCCTGCCTACTGAATAACTTCATTTTAAAATCCCATCATCAAAAACCATTTATTCAATTGAATTATATGTAACTGCACCTGCTAGGATCTTGTGCGGAATTTCCCAATTGACACCCATGGGCTGGAAATGGGTTACAAGGTCAGCTTCAGAAGGCCTAGTAGGGTCCCTGCAGGGCTAAGGCTCTTGGCATCACCTCCTGCTTGTTTCAAGGTGCTGTACAAACATCACTTTCTATGTGTTCCACACATGAAGAAAGTTAGCACCAAGACAGTGCTTGTTTCAGAAAAACTAGACTACTTTCTTTTTTTCATTTCTAACTAAAGAATTAAAAAAAAAAAAAAGAGAGAGAGAGAGAGAGAACAGGTTTCGCCATGTTGGCCAGGCTAGTCTCGAACTCCTGGGCTCAAGGCATCCACCCGTCTTGGCCTCCCAAAGTGCTAGGATTACAGGCATGAGCCATCACACCCAGTTGACTTTTCTCCTTTATTTGGTGTAGTTCTCATATCTGGCAAAAGAAAAAAAAAAAGCCACCCCAAAAACCCACCTATGGAGATTTAAAACCTGCACAGGTCTGGGCCCTGGCAATTCTTACTGGGGACTGGGGGAAAGACAGCCTTGAGTACTGTACTTTGTTTTTGTCTTTCTGAAGAGTCACTGTCAGTTCTGAGAAGTCAGACTTGTGAACCACGGTCCTATCCTGGCACCAATTCAAGTAAACATGACTGCCAAAGAATTTTTCAAGGTCCAGATAAGTTGATACCAGACATTGATCAAGGTAACTGCACAACTATCAAAGACAAAAAACTTCAAACTAAGTAAACACAAGTATTGGATCTAGATTATAATATTTTCTTGTTGTCTATGTATAAGATATAGTATTAAGAGATTTTAACCCCTTTTTAAAAGCTGGTGTGCAATGGCGCCACGTCAGCTCACTGCAACCTCCACCTCCCGGGTTCAAACAATTCTCTTGCCTCAGCCTCGTGAGTAGCTGGGATTACAGGTGCCCACCACCACGCCTGGCTAATTTTTGAATTTTTAGTAGAGACAGGGTTTCACCATGTTGGCCAGGCTGGTCTTGAACGCCTGACCTCAGGCTTCCCAAAGTGTTGGGATTACAGGTGTGACCCACCGTGCCCACCTAGTAATTCTTTTTCTTAAGAGATGGGGTCTCGGCCATGCGCGGTGGCTCACGCCTATAGTACCAGTACTTTGGGAGGCCGAGTTAGGAGTACTCACTTGAGGCCAGGAGTTCGAGACCCGCATGGGCAACATGGTGAAACTCCCTCTCTACAAAAAATTAGCTGGGCATGGTGGTGCAGGCCTGTGGTCCCAGTTACTTGGGAGGCTGAGGCAGAAGGATCGCTTCAAACCAGGAGGTTGAGGTTGCAGTGAGCCATGATTGCCACTGCACTCCAGCCTGGGTGACAAAGCCAGACCCTGTGTCAAAAAAAAAAAAAAAAAAAAAAAAGCTCAAAGAAAGGATACTAAGAAAGAAAGAAAGAAAGAAATGGGGTCTCACTATCTTGCCCAGGCTTGAGTGCAGTGCTTATTCCCAGATGTGATCCCACTACTGATCAGCACGGACGTTCTGACCTGCTGCATTCCCCTCTGGGCTGGCTCACCACTCCTCAGGCAGCCTAGTGGTCCCCCGTTCCCAGGAGGTTGCCATACTGATGCTGGACTTAGTGTGGACACCTGATCAGCATAGTGCACAAAAGCCCACAACTCCTGGACTCAAGTGATCTTTTTGCCTCAGTCTACTTGGTAGCTGGGACTACACAGCCTTGCGTCATTGTGCCAGCTACTTTAGTAGCTTTTAAATGTCTGTTTCAAATCTATCTCTGGAGAAATTAGACCAGCTCTGAAGGCAGAAAAAATAGGATATTCTAACTCATGAGGTAAAATGCCCCTGAATCATTTGGGGAGGGGGGAAAAAGATGAGTTGTGAGCAGAGCCAAGATGGTCATTCATATAATTCATCCTTAGAAAAAATTAATTCTCCATACTCCCTTTAAATACAACAAGTGATTAAGCAGTAACTTAACTGCTCTCTTAAAAGTTTATATAATAAATAATCTAGAGGTCGGGTGTGGTGGCTCATGTCTGTAATTCCAGCACTCTGGGAGGCTGAGGTGGGTGGATCACCTGAGGTCAGGAGTTCGAGATCAGCCTGGTCAACATGGTGAAACTCCATCTCTACTAAAAATACCAAAATCAGCTGGGCGCGGTGGCATGCGCCTGTAGTCCCAGTTACTCAGGAGGCTGAGAGAGGAGAATCAGTTGAACCCGGGAAATGGAGGTTGCAGTAAGCTGAGATTGTGCTGCTGCATTCCAGTCTGGGCAACAGAGCAAGACTCCGTCTCAAAAAAAAAAAAAAAAAAAAATTCATCTAGAACAGTGCTGTCCAACAGAACTTTCTGTGATGTTGGAAATGTTCCACATCTGTGTAGTTCAATATTGACTACTTGAAATGGGGCTAGCGTGACTGAGGAAATGTTTTTCTTTTATATATATGTAATTACAAATTTAAATAGCCACATGGCTAGTGGCTATCATATTAGATACCAGGTCTAAAAATTCTAGACCAGTAGGCCGGGGGCGGGGGCTCACATCTATGATCACAGCACTTTGGGAGGCCAAGATGGGAGGATCACTTGAGGTCAGGAGTTCAAGACCAGCCTGGCTAGCATGGTGAAACCCCATCTCTACTAAAAACTACCAAAATTAGCTGGGTGTGGTGGTGGGCGCCTGTAATCCTAGCTACTCAGGAGGCTGAGTCAGGAGAAGCACTTGAACTTCTCCAGGAGTGAAGACTGCAGTGAGCCAAGATCGTGCCACTGCACTCCAGCCTGGGCGACAGAGGACCAGTGAAGTATGATTTCACCCATGATCTCCAACTCATTTGCAGAAGGGGAAACCTTTGCTCAAGCTGTCTTGTAACTTAGTTTACTTGAGTCTGAATTCTGTGCTAATAGTTCCTTTATCTTGAACAGTCCGGGTGGATACAGAGCAGAGCTTCTGTCCTTCACTGTTAACTAAGAGGACCCATCTCTTGCTGTCATTTTCCATTTAAGTGGAAAAGGGACTTTTTCCTGAGTTCTTAATGACTTCTTTGGAAAAGATTTTCTAAGTTGGGAATCTGTCTTAACAAAAGCAAAAAGCCCCATAGAGTAATCACAGAATACTCCATTTTCTCAAGAATGTCCTCCTGTGTGTACATCAATAAACTCTTAAGATGTGCAGCAAAACTAAAAAGCTAAAGAATTTGACATGCCCAGGGTGAGGCTTTAGGGAATGCGGGGGTCTTTATAAATAGGTCATTTAGATAATAACAATGTAAATTTGCCTTCCACTCTCTCTCCAGGCACATCTGAAAGTCCAAGATCCTGATTGAAGGGTATGCTACCCATTGAAATCACTCTTTGTTTAACAGGAAGCAGGGAAATGTGAAGTGACTTGAGTAATAGAAGAATGTAAATAAGTCTCTTTATAACTGAAGGGGTTATTGAGATTACTTCAGAAGTTTTAAAGTAATTTGAATAAATTATCTATATGTTTTTCCTATAAGTAAAATCTGAAAACATTACTATTGTTATATAGTCCTAAGAATCAATAATATTTTTAAATATATAGCTAGACTTTATAATATTTCCCCTTTTCTTCAAGGAAGATAGATTATGTACCTGTGGTATATTTGAAAGCAAACTTTGAAGGCCTGGGCTAGTGCCATTCCAAATAATTTACTTATGTTCGGCAATGGATAAATTTTACAGATCTGATTTTTTTTTTTACTTCAGTAGCTTAATATATTTTCCTTGTTTAATGACCTTTTCCTAATCACTGTTCTTTTAATTTCAAGCAAGGCTACTACTATGTTTATTCCTGGCACCCACAGGAAACAGGAAATAGTAAAAGAACTCAAGATCAATTAAAAAAATCTTTTACTGCAAACATAAGGTTTGAAATTGTCACATTTTCTTCTTTCAAGTATTTTAAGGATACACTAAAATCTACCATTTTTAAGCAAAAGAAATTCCTGAAGTGAAAATCTTACATCTGTTAGTCAAAAAGGTACTTGTTCTTGCCATGGATAAATCTACTCTAAAATATATGAATTTTACTTTATATTTTTGAGATGGAGTTTCACTTTTGTTGCCCAGCCTGGAGTGCAACGGCACAATCTTGGCTCACCACAACCTCCGCCTCCTGGGTTCAAGAGATTCTCCTGCCTTAGGCTCCTGAGTAGCTGGGATTACAGGTATGTACCACCACGCCAGGCTAATTTTGTATTTTTTTTTTTTTAGTAGAGATGGGGTTTCTCTATGTTGGTCAGGCTGATCTTTAACTCCTAACCTCAGGTGATCCACCAGCCTTGGCCTCCCAAAGTGCTAGGATTACAGGTGTGAGCCACCACACCCAACCAAATTTTAAATCAAAGTTAAAATAACTTCTAGACACAAGGATCTGGATTTTATTAATGGTTAACTGTGTTCTTACGAGGTTACAAATGGCACTGAGTAGCTGAATTCCTACCATTAATTCAAAGATTTATCAGCTTATATTTCAACAACATATTGATACCTTTAGGTCAATTTTAGAAATGTTTTTGGTATTTATACTCAGCCTTATTTCCTTCCAGGTTTTGAACAAGAATTCTACATTGTAGGCACTAGCGTCATGCCTTACACTGAGTTCCATACATCTTTGCAGAATGAATAAACTTGCTGAAAAATGTACATGAAATTAAGATAGAGGCAAAATCTACTGTAAAATTAAGACAGAAGCAAAGCCTGATATAATGAGCTACTTTTGTAATACTGTAATTGTAAAATAATATTTATAATATTTTGTAAATAAAAATAGAACTGTATAACTACTATGCATTTTAGAATAGGTAGGGAAATTTTGTTTTCACTTTGCTGTCTTGTTAGAGCCATGGCCAGAAGCTGATATTCCTCAGGTAACAAAGACAGCAGCCTGAAACTCTAAGAACAGAATGACCCATCAATTCTGAAGGAAGTTAAAATAGAATTTTTAAAAGATGAAAGAAAATCCATTAATACAAGGTTTTCATCCTAGCTTATGATTTTGGGCAAGTCATGGAATCTGATTAAATGGGGATATGCTGCAGAGCCTGCGTATGTGAAACAAGTGGGATGTTGTATAGGATGGTGCTTTGTGAACTGTAAAGTGATACAGAATAAGGTTGAACAGGCACTACACAGGTACACCATGCAGAGAAGGGAGTGCTTTGGAAGTATCTGAGAAATGGTGAGTCACTGGCTGGAGAAACGGGTTTATGGGGGAGGAATTATTTCACAAGTTGTGGCGTGGTGGTGGAAGACTGAACGCTTAAATGACAAAAAGAGACTTTTTTTTGTAGGGCAAAAGGAGTTTGTAAAACAATTTCCTGAGTTGGCTAAAAGACATAATGTGGCAGGAGCTTTAGGAAGAGCAACTGGACCTAATTTCAATTTCAGCAGTCACAGACTTCCCATTCACTGAGGGCTTACTAGTTCCTCTTACTGTGTTAAGAAGTTTATAGATATTACCTCAATTAATCCGCAACAACCCTTACAGGTTCACATTACTACTCTGTTACAAATGTGAGAGTGGAGGCTTACAGTTAAGGAACTTATTATCCAAAGCCAGGGAAATTAAGATGAGGAATATCCAAGACTATTATAAAATAAAATGGGATACACAATGAAATCTAGATGTGAGACCACGAATATTGCCATGTGCATGCAAAGATTCAGGAGAAGCATTACAGATATTTGCTGACTAAAGATTCAGGAGAAGCACTGCCAAGATTTGCTGACTAAATGGTAATAAGGGATCTCGCATATATAAGGCGTTATGGTAGCGTTTGTTCTCCTGAGCAAACACCATGCCAACTTGTAATCAGCTAAAAAAAAATCTGTTCAGATAGTACTACAGAATCTCATGATTTTTCCATTTTCAGTGAAACTATTTTTAAAGTACTTTTAATTCCAGTTTAAAGTTATCAGTTTAACTTTAATACATGCTGATATTGGGCAGACAAGATTTTAGGAGAACATAATACAACTCCAGGCACTTGTCTGACTTAATTCTGCCTTTTTCACAAATATGAAAAATCTCCACCCTGACAGTGATGGAGCGGCAGGCAGGCTGCCAAGGAGGCTGGTCACACCTTAGGTCCTTCCAGGTAGCCTGCCACTTGTTTTTCTTCTTGTTGATCAGTCAGTCAGACTGTGAAAGGCTGGTGTCAGGCAGTCCCAGCCACAGCCTGTAGAGGAGACTCGGCCTCACTTTCTCTATGTGTTATCCTCTTTTCCGTTGGGGGTTTTAAGGTGCCAGCCTTAAGTTCCAGGTCTAAGCAAACAGTAAAGCAAGAGTGCTGATGGCTCTCAAAGTCCAGTGAGTTCCTTCTGAAGGAGGATGTATTCAATAAATGTTTGTGATATGACCAAAGTTAATCTAACTGATATTCTGAACCATTTTACTGTATTATAATTTTTTTTTTGCATTAGCTTTTTGGTCAGGGACTTGAGGGATAAAGATGACAAGTTTTGGGCCAGGCGTGGTGGCTCACACCTGTAATCCCAGCACTTTGGGAGGCCGAGGCGGGTGGATCACCTGAGAGCAGGAGTTTGAGACCCAGCCTGGCCAACATGGTGAAACCCCATCTCTACTAAAAATATAAAAATTAGCCGGGCATGGTGGTGGGTGCCTGTAATAACAGCTAGTAGGGAGGCTGAGGCAGGAGAATCGCTTGAACCCGGGAGGTGAAGGATGCAGTGAGCTGAGATTGTGCCACTGCACTCCAGCCTGGGAAACAGAGTGAGACTGTCTCAAAAAAAAAAAAAAAAAAAAAAGACAAGCTTTGTTTTGGGTACACTGAGGATGTGCTGAAGGCAGAAATTTCTTTTTTTTTTCCCTTTAGAATTATTTTATTAAATCATAAATGTACAACAGCTTCTTAACTCTACACACGCAATTAAATTTTTTAAAGGAAAAACGTTATGTCTTATTACACTACGATCCTGGCTAATAGCTTTTCAAAACATTGAGAAAAATCTTAAAAAAGGTTTCACATGTCACCTGAAACTTACAAATTTAACATTATCAAAGAAGGAATGCTTCTATACTCTTACAAAGACCACTAGAAAGCAACAACTAGGGATGAAACAGCTAGGGACGAAGCTCACACAGTGACAGCTAGTAAAATGATGAATAGATGAAGACGAATTCTCGGTTAAGAGAACACCAAGAGACGGAGATCTTTCCCACTTAGCACTGAGACAGGTAAAAAAAAAAAAAAAGCTAAAAAAATGGGACGGACAACTGCTAAGAACAGACCCATGATAATAATGTAAGAGGACGAGATAGGCCAATTTAAGAGACACATATTAAATTATAATCTAATCCATTATCCATTTAGTCTTAGATTTCTGCCATTATTATTATTTCATATCCTGGTAAAGAATTTTCTGAGTTTTATCTCTGTCCCTCCTGTACCTCTTCTTTTTTTGGAGATGGAGTCTCCCTCTGTTGCCTAGGCTAGAGTGCAGTGGTGAGATCTTGGTTCACTGCAAGCTCTGCCTCCCGGGTTCAAGCAATTCTCCTGCCTCAGCCTGCCGAGTAGCGGGTGGTATGCACCACTACGCCCAGCTAACTTTTTGCATTTTTAGTAGAGACGGGATTTCACCATGTTGGCCAGGCTATCTCAAACTCCTGACCTCAGGTGATCCACCCACCTTGGCCTCCCAAAGTGCTGGGATTACATTCGTAAGCCACTGTGCTCGGCCCAAAAATGATTTTCTTACTCTCCTCACAAGAAATTGATAATTGTTTTTTAAAAAATGTACTGAAAAAAGGACACATACATAGGTGCTGACTCTGTTGACAATCTACCCCCAGTCTACTGGATCTCTGAATAAACATGAAATGTTTTTCATTCTCAAGAAAAAAAAAAGTACTGATAAATTATAAAGAAGGATTTAGCTATTGACTCTCGTAAACCTTTAACATGTTCATGCAAAAAAGAATACATAAGTATGCTTGAACTGCATTTTTTTTTTAACTGTACTATGGCAAACTGATTTGTCATGAAAAACTTCCTGCTTTTCCATGACTTTGAGGATAAGGTCCTTTAGTTATCTGATATTAAAAGGAGAGGCTGGTTACTGCAGTAGTATATCAGGATTCTGGGAGGGTTCGTACATGTTTGGTTTACCCACAGTAGGGAGCATGCTTACCAAAGGCATGTGAAGCATTGCTCTAAGTCTCTGGATCCTTCTGCGCATCTCCACCTACATACCTTGTAGTCACAGTTCCTAATATCTCACCTTCTGTTATCATTGCCTACTTGAAAACCTGGCAGGAAAGTTATTAGGGAAAAGGAAAAGGGGAATATCATTTGAGTTCTCTCACAACCACTCTTCAAACACTAGTAGGGAATGTTAGAAAGAAAAAGAGAAACAAATGGAAAGAAAAGCTAAAATACAGGTGAGGAAAATGGAGGGAAATATGTTCTAACTTCCCCATTCCTATTAATACTGCTTTCATGTCTGTATCAAAAA